AAGCGGTAAACCATACCATGTCAAAGATAGAATACTAGCTCTTTCCTACTAGGTTCCCCCCCCACACCCCCAACAAGCTTGTTTCAGCTTGTTCATCTTGTTAAACTTGTCTGCGATCCTTAAGATTTACAATCGGAACACTCATTGTACATGTGCGATAAAGGAAGTGGGAAATGTGAAATTGGTCTTGGGGAGGATCCGATGGGATGAGGATGAATGGTGGAAGGGGAGATGCAGATCAAGAAGCACTGGACACAGAAATGGACATGTTAAATTGTAGCTCACTGTGCAGCCATTTGAAGGTTAGAAAAAAAAGTAATTCTGTGGAAGTTAGAGAAAATCAGACAAAAGATCTGGATGTGTATGTATGTTTATTTATTTATATTTAGTCTTCAATTTATTTTTAATTATATTTAAATAATTGTACAGAAGAGTTTTAGATAGATAGATAGATAGATAGATAGATAGATAGATAGATAGATAGATAGATAGATAAAGCTGGTCCTAGGGCTTGAAATCAGGGCCTGGGTGTTCTCCCTGAGTTTTTTCTGCTCAAGGCTGGCACATTACCACTTGAGCTACACCTCCACTTCTGGCTTTTTTGGTGGTTAATTGCAGGAAAGAGTTTCATGGACTTTACTGTCTAGGTCAGCTTTAAACAAGAATCCTTATATCTTAGCCTCCTGAGTAGCTAGGATCACAGGCATGAGCCACTGGGACTAGCTAATTATATTTTTATTATCATTAAGGAGTTGTACAAAAGAGATTCAACAAAACAGTTTATAAATACAGTGCATCTTGATTGATGTTTCCCCTTTCGTCATTCTCCCCTTCCTTCCCAGCCTTTCTGTTCCCATTTTTCTTAATTTTGTAGGCTATGCCTTGAATTTTAAGCTGCATTCTTCCCCTGAATAGATAATGTTTAAAAAACAAGAACAAACTTGATGGAAGTTACATGTATAAGACCAGGCAATAAAATTATTTTCAAGGAAAAAAAATACATGTATCCTGTTGGGTTATTTTGGTACCCAATCTTTCTAACATCGTTATTGGTAAGATTCTGACATAGGAAATGGATTACAGTAAGAAGCATATAGCACAATAGAGCATGAATTTTGGAAAGGCAACAGATAAAACATTGTATTTCTAAGCCTGAACAGCAGGAATCTTTTTGCTAAGTGTTGAGTCCATTGCCAGGAACACAAAAGGAGAAGTTGTCCTTCTGCTGAGCTAGACTAGGAACTACAGTTCTATCCAAACTGCTTTTCAGCATTCTAGTAGAGCCATCATTGGGCTGGTTTAGTACATCTCTGTGTGACTGATGTGTACCTCAAGCTAGAGCCTCCTCTCATATTCCCGCTTCCATGGCTGGACAGTAAGGAAGCCTCTTTTCTGTTAGTGTTGGGGCTTGAATTCCAGGCCTGGTTACTGCACTTGAGCATTTTTGATCAAGGCTGATCTGCTACCATTTTTGGTGATGAATTGGAAATAAGTAAGCATCTCACAGACTTTCCTGCCTAGGCTGACTGAACCATGATCTCAGATCTCAAACTTTTGAATAGCTAGTATTACCTGCATGAGCCGTTGGCACCTGACTTTAAGGAAACCTAATTTTACTGAATATAACAGTTGTCTCATGGATATTGGAGACGAATTTTAGGAAGATATGTCTCTAGTTTATTGCCTCATGTTAAAGCTCCATAGCTGTTTTATCTTATAGGTAGGTGGAGGGGCCATAGGTAGGAAGCTGGCCATATTTCATCCCACTTTGCAGTTCATGCCAAGACCATACACACTAGACTTCTCCCAAGTCTTGTAGCCCATTGAAAAGCGTTGTGACAGACAGCTAGATGCTTTGCCAAATTAAAGTTTTTCAGACTTAATCTGTCAGCAAGACCTGGGACTTTGAGGGTGAGTCTTTATTAAAAGGTCAATCTGGTTCCTGGTCACCTTTTTTTTTTTTTTCTACACAGGAACCAAGCTATGAGTGTCTTCGATGGCTTTCATCTTCAGGACCAAAGATGGCTATCTTTGATTAGCAGCAAGCGGGGTGAGGGAGGGTGACACTTAGAAAGACACATATCTCCTGTGGACAAGCCTTGTGAGTGGAAGGCAGCCATGCCGGGGCCTTGGTTTTCACCTGTGGGTTTATGAGGTGCCCTCATTTGAACATCTGCTCTGGACTGAGAGAAGTGTGTGGCTTCTCCACCCCACGTCTCACTAACGGGTTCTCGCTTCCATAGCAGAAAACAAGATCCAGTTTCCTAAGGGCTAGTGCATTTGCCTGCCATGCTTTTACAGGTCCAGAGACCAGTCCACCTTCGTGTCTCTTTGTGTCTGCCTCCTGCTCTGGGAAATGGAGGTGATCATGGTAGTTCCCTTTTAAGGATGATATGAGTACTAACTCAGGATTATGGTTGGTTGGTGGACAGCTCAGCTTCATACCTAGTTACAGGTCCACACTGTGATAGGATCATTGCCAAGAGGTAGGAAATCAGTAATGAGCATGGTTCATTCATTCATTTAGTCCAGAGCAGTGTAAACAACACACGTCTCAGTGTTGCATGTTAGAGCCGTACAGATGAATGCCCCTTTATAGAGTCTTCCCGGTCTTTCTGGAAATGAGATCAGTGAAGTTGGGAAATCACAGTTGCTATTATGGCTCTCTAATGATGACTGGGGGTTCAGGGGCTTGTGGCCCCTAAAACAAGTCTTTTCTGAAACCCTGGTTTTTCTTTTCCTGTTTGTTTGTGCCGGTACTGAGGCTTGAACTCAGGACTTTGCACTCTTGATCAGCTTTTGCTCTCATGGCTAGTGCACTACCACTTGAGTCACATCACTGGTTGTGCTTTTTATTTTTTCTGACCAGGCTGGCTTCCTGAGTACCTAGGATTGTAACTGGGAGCCACTACCACCCAATAATCCCCCGTTTGTCAATGTACGACTCTGTGTTTTTGCGTGTAATTACCCCCTCCGTTCCCCGCCCCCCCCCGAGTTTTAGTCAGTGCCTGATCTAGCAAGTGCACAGTAACATATAGTGTGGTTGCACACAGTGCAGCAACAGAGTGTATAGATTTTCTCTGGGAGTTTATCTTCTTCTCCAAATAGGAGATTAGCTAATATTATGATGTTCTCAATTGATACTGCCTTCTAGAATCCTCTAATGAGCACAGAAACAATTTTCCCCTCATTGGAGCTACCTGTGAAGGTTCATTGTTTTGTGACTTTCCCAGACTCTCATCATTGCTAGAAGCTGACTAATTTGGAGGAGGGAAGTTAGGGTTTTAAAATGCCCCCTCTTTGTACATCTGGCCTCACTGTCAAATCGCGAGTTGTTTCAGGTAAGTTCTTTGGCTGGTGTGAATCAGCTTGACCATGTCTGGTCGTGTAGGTGGTGGTGATAATGAATTGAACAGAGAATACAGACAGGGGCAGGGAACATGGCTCTTGAACCCAGTGGGTAGAGAAGATGGGCGTTTTAGTCCATTTCACAGTAATGAGAAGGCGGCTTTGAGAATGATCAGTGACATCCACGACCACATTTACCTCTGTTTCTTTTGAAAATGAAATAATTGTAGGTGGACTGAACCAACTCCCCCTCCCCCCCCCATGGGAACTTCAACAGGCCAGCTACTGATAAATGCAACTCAGCTGTTTCTAGAGTGCTGTGTTCTTCCAGAGTAATGTTGCCCTGGACTCTTCTTTTGGACTCTGTGTGCATTTCAGCTCTTGGCATGTCAGCAACTAGGTATTTGGGAAAGACTATAGATTGTACAAACTTTCCAAGAAACAAGTAGAAACCAGCACATTTTCAGCAGTGTATCCTTAAGTTCAGCTTCCTATTTGGAGCTTCAGTTATCCTATTCAACTATGAAAGCACGTGAACTCTAATGTGATCATCCTAGGTGACACCTCAACTTGGTTTTGAGATTGATTTTTTTTTTTCTGTTGAGTCTTTGGAATGGACAGGCTTCTTCTACAAAGGGCTAGAGCGTGGATGGTCCAGGTTCTGCCCATCACTCTAGCCAGACACGTAACAAATACGCACAGCTGTGCGCCATCAACAATATTAGTTGCACAATGGAATTTGAATTTCACAGAATCATATCTGTCAAAGAATACTATTCATTCATCTTCTGATTTTTTTTTCTCTCCCAACTTTTTTTTTTTCTGTCGGTTGTGGGGCCTGAACTCTGGGCCTGGGCGTTGCTGTCCCTCAGCTCTTCAGCTCAAGGCTAGAGCACTACCACTTGAGCCACAGCACCACTTCCAGCTTTTTCTGCTTCTGCGATGCTGAGGAATCAAACTCAGAGCCTCATGCATGCAAGGCAAGCACTCTACCACTGAGTCACCTTCCCAGCCCCTCCCCCAACTATTGAAAAATGTAAAAATAATCCATTTGAGCCGGGTACCAGTGACTCACACCTGTAATCCTAGCTATTCAGGAGGCTGAGATCTGAGGATCACAGTTCAAAGCCAACCCAGGCAGGAAAGTCCATGAGACTCTCATCTCCAATTAACCACCAGAAAACCAGAAGTTGCACTGTGGCTCAAGAGGTAGAGCACTCCCCTTGAGCTGATCAGCTCAGGGACAACACCCAGGCCCAGAGTTCAAGCCCCATGACCAACACTCCCCCCTCCCCCCAAAAAAATCCATTGTAGCTCATAGGCCAAATAGAAAAAAATATTTACCTTGAAGGCTAGCTAGTTGTCTAACTGTTCTTAAACACTATTAGGAAAAGTAAAACAATTCGGCAAAAGGTAGATTTAAGAAATCCCAGGACCTAGCACTATTTAAAAAAAAATCATTGAAATAATCCCAGAAAGGCACTCATGGTCATGTGGGCTGTTCCTGTATTCCTATAGTTAATTTATCCCCTAGAGAATGTGCAGTGGACATCCACCTGTGACTGAGGGTAGATTTGCATCCCAAGTCTAACAGGCCACCATGAAGCTGAGTTGTGATTTACACACACCTGTCTTTTGCTGTCCTCTTGTAGATCGTGTTGGGCTTCATTCTGGAAGAAGGAATACTGCATAGATTCTCCATAACATTACCACAGAGATACTATTGGGGAAGAAAGAAAAAAGGTCATACAGAGCTGTTCCTTCAATGCACTTACAATTGAATAAGCTACATAGGCGACAGGCACTATGGAGCTATCCTGGCTGGAAAAATCATGGCTTCCCTCATCAACATTCCAGTGCAGAGACGTTGAAGTACAGAGGAGTTGCTGTAAAGGTCCATGTGAGGACCAGTGCCTTGCTTTCCTAAGTCAGGAGCTTCCTTCTTAGATTTCAGGACCATGGAGAATGTCGGAGAAAGGCCTTCAGAGAGTGTCTGGTCATCATCTCCCTACCTGCTTTTGGATGGAGGAGCACAGACTCGATGGAGGATGAATGGGGGGCTGATGAAAAGCCACCAGACTTCACATCTAGGTGTCTTTATCAGAAGTTAAGTTCTTTGGTTTTGAATCAAGATCCTAAGGTACTGTATTGTTGTATTTCCACACATTGTGTCTAGAAGTCTCGAGGACCTTCCTGAAGAGAGTTGGAGAGTGGATGAGCAGTAACCATGGCAAAACAGACAGGTAGGTCCATGACACACCAAGATGCTGCTGTCGGGTTCGTGAGATGATCAGTCAGCTGTGTCTTCCTTAATTTTTTTAAATGTAAATTTATAGCACCTGGCTGCTACCTGGCTCATTTGTATTGGCGACCATGTCAGCCTGTCTCCTGTCAGATAAGAGCTCTGTCTCAGGGAGGGGGTGCTTACTTCCCCAAATCAGACGTAGCTGTGCATATGTTGGAGGTGCAGGTCACACTCTGCTCATCCATGTGCCGGGAGTGGGTAGAATAGCAGCTCCACTGACCCTCCTGTACCCTGGAGGTCAGTTAGTGATCCTATAACTAGGTAGATCTGTCTCAGATCCCTTTCCTGTGAATCTATAAAAATACTGGCCGCACTGGTATTTATAACCATGAAAAATCAGAAATAGGCTTGGGCTGATAGTACATACTGATGGATCTCATTGCTCTGGAGGCTGAGGAGGACAGATCATGAGTTCAAGGCCAACCTCAGCTACACCGTGAGACTCTGTCTCAACAAAACAAAATAAGGAATTGGAAATTGCATTGATCTTCTATCATAGTGGGTGGTTGAAGGCATTGTAGCATGTGTAAAGAATTTCTTCTCCAGCTATTTAAATGTGAAAATGATGGTTAAAAATGACTATGTTATGTGACAGTTACAGGATGCAAAATGTTCAAATGGCATGATAATGCAAAATGGAAAGAGAAAGATGCTGTGAAAGGTCAGATAAAACCACACACAGATACACACACACACACACACACACACACACACACACGTCAGCAGGATGTTGTGATTAGCTTCTTAGCACCAGACTGACTAGAGGTTCTGGTGCGAGACTGACCTATCTCCATTACACGTCTGAGCATTTTCATTACTACATGTGATGCCATTTTAATGGCATTGTTGTTGCTTCCCACAATGGCGTCCTGGGGAAATGCCAACTGGTGGTCACCTAAATGTGTCAGAAGGACCAATCATTGCTATCGGTGGCAACAACAATGGAAGTTTTAAGACAACAAGGAGTGTCTTCCTGGGGGACTGACACTTTACAGTTTCTCCTCCTAAGGGAGGAGAACCCGTGTCCTGTCACTGAGCGCTGTGGGCTGGGAAGAGCATTCTAAATGAGAAAGCCCCAGGTCTGCAGGCTTTCCCTGGATCTGACACAGGGAGGAAGGGCTGGCCCCAGAGAAGCTAGCGCTCCTTGTGCTCCCTGCGCTCCTTGCGCATGATTCATAATGATTGCAGCAGATGGACCCTGAGGTCCGTGGCTCAGTCTGCAGCTGAGAAAGCCCTCCCCTGAGGAGATGTGGCTGGCCTGGACCCTGTGTTTCCCAGCAGGGGGGTGAGTGCTGGGCCTTTTCCCCGGGCAGGGTTTCCAGTCTGCGTGCACACGTCAGAGCCCCTGCGTTTGTACCAGCTGGAAGCAGCCAGGATGTTTCTGCCGCCTCCCAGAAGAGGCTGGGAAGTCAGGGAGTTGGCAGGGAGGGGCTTGTTTCACACTCATTATTCTTTTATATGATGTGCAAGATAACAGAAAACATTAAATATTCCTGTAATCACACCGATTTATGAAACAACTAGCACAAACCAGAGAGAGTAACTGATGCCAGTCTGAAACACACCATCCCACCCTTCTTGACATAACTGGATTATCAGCCTGATAATGTATATAAACCCAAGCGTATACATACAGTTAACTTACCAGGAGGGAAGAAAAGCTTTGGACTGTTAAGTTCTTATGTTTTTACAGTGTAATCCCACACTTGCTGATTTAAGACTATTAAGGATTTAAAATCAGCATTTGCAAAAATCCTTGATAATTTAACAGCTGGCTTTGAACAACCCCATATAGGCTCACAGATGTCTGTATCTTTTCCTTCCCTTTCATCTTAATCTTCTTCCTTTCTCCCCGCTTCTTCACCTTCCTTTTTTCTGGAATTGGAAACCGTATACCACTATTAATTACTCTGCCCGGAGTATCCTTCAGACCTGCACATAGAGGCCCACTTGGCTCTACTGCTTGTGGAGTAGAGTTTCCATGATGGTGTACCTCTTGTTTCTGGAACCTTCTTAGAAACGCAGACCTGCCTGCCAGGAGAGGAGCGAGTGACCCGCAGTGCTTCACGTAGACGGGGCTGCAGTGCTGTCCACCTCTGCCTTCCCTTTGTGTTTCCTTAGCTTCGAGCCCATCAAGTTAGATTGAGACTCTTTTCTTCATTCCTCACTGTCTCCAGATTCTGAGAGAGAATTTTACTTTTTCTTGTGGCAAACTTTTTCTGATAATCTCCCATTCCCCAAGTCCTCTCCAAGTGCTTCTCTTCATAATTCCTTAAAATCTAACATCCTACTATGCAGTGTCCATCAATAGACCTTCTTAGTTTTTGAATGATGTATCTTGTTTCTTGTTGAGAACCTCTGGGAGACACAGAGATCACCAACGTGTGCTCCCTCCTCTAGTCCCTAAGTGCTATTCTTACATAGGTAACTGTATTGCTTTATATGGCGTAAGTGTCTTTGTACATCCCATGAAGGTAACGTTACCAACCAGCTGATTCTTAATAAAGAAAGTGTCTGAAATTAACCGAGTGGGTCCATAATCACAAGGACCCTTACAAATAGAACTTTCTCTGATGGGATCAGGGGATGCTAGGAAGTATTTCAGGAGGGATACTGGGAGTGAGGAGATGTAGATAAGCAATGGTCAGTTCAATGTAGGGACCTACATGTATGGACTGCAGAGAGGCCACTCTTCTCAGGTGGCCAGCAGCTAACAAAGCAACAGGCACATCCATCCTGCAGCCTCGGGCAACTGAATTCACCAACAACACAAAAAGCTTAGAGAATCCTTCCAGCACCTTCCTATAGGAGCCCAGGCAGTCCACACCTTGCATTGAGCGCTGCCATTTGAGCAGATACTTCCGCCAAACCAGCCCACATTCTGACCCTCAGAACTGTGAGATAATTATACATGCGTCGTTTTAAACTGAGTCTGTGGAGATCCATTAGTACAACTGTAGAAAGTCCCTATTAGAGTCTTAACAACTGAGAACACAGGCCCTGGGTCCCTCTTGTAACTTCCAGGATGAGTTTGCTTCTTCCCAGGAGACCCTCTCATCCCTTCGCTCCCTTTTATACATCCAGCCCAGCTTCCTCTGGGTCTCAGAGGGAGCAAGTCTGGCCATCTTCCAGATTCTTCATCTGTCTACCTACCAACAGTGACCACGTAGCGGCATTTACTTCCATGTTATGTGCTTATTTCCTAGCTCTAGGGTATACTCACGTGCTGATCTAGGGGCATCTTGAGTAAAGGAGTGAGGCATCTGGACAGTGAAGTCCCTTTTACCATATTAGGTGTGGGGCCTACAACCACATATCAAAATAGCTCTTACCAGAACGTGTAATGGCTTCCTCTTGCCCTCCTCGAACAAGGATCCCTCTAAGGACTTGAAAAATCTGAGTATTTTTAGCACATTCTTCTTATAACAGCATTTCTCTGTGTACCCTTTAAAGATGGCGCACACATTGTCAAATAATATGTTGTAAGCCTTACAGGTGCACTGTTCTACTGTGTCATCAAAGCTAGCACGCTGAACACCTGGAATCAAGATGGAGTCGCCCATGGAGTTCTTACAGCGGTGCCTGAGGTTGGACTCTAAGAGGATCTGCATCTTACAGAGAGGACACTGGGGCACAGAGTGATTTTTATGGACTGGCACTGAAATGTTCCCCTGAAGGTTAGCGGGCTTGGTTCTTGAGGCAGCAGGGCGCAGAGGGGAGAGAGGTGATTGGGTCCTGAGCTCTCCCTTCACCAGAGCATTACTCCGTTGATTGATCTATAGCGTAGTGGGTATTGGGAAGTGATGGGAGCTTTAGGAGCTAGGCCTCTTTGGAAATAAGTCATGGCAGGGTGACCTTGGATTATCTGTTGGTCAGTCTGTCTGTCTGTCTGTCTCTCTCTCTCTCTTTTTCTCCTCTCTCTTAGCTTCCTTTGCTGTGTATTTCATTTCCTCAGGCCACACTGATTCCATGAGCCACAAACCTCTCCTCCTTTATGTTGATTCCTGCAAATGTCTCATCACAGTGTGGATAGCAGACTAACAGTAATGAGTGACCCAAGGTACACAGCTGGTTAGTAGCAGAGTCTGCGTGAAAAGCCCAGGCAGTTTGGCTCTAGAGTCTGTAACCACTGGAATAACCTTAAGAGTTTTCCTTCCCTTTGCTTTCCATTTTGGTAGAGGTAGGGAGAAGAAGATGGTGGTGAGGAACAAGGATGATGCATCCATGGATGTCTCCCAGGTGAAGGGATAGGCCCATCCTTGCAGCCACAGAAGGCTTCCTTCCCATCCAGTCCTCATCTCCTACCTTCCATTCATTCTTCTGCTCTTAGAGCTGCTGTCTTTGTCCAGAGGGACAACAGCAGTCCACCAGTCGACCTTGAGATCCTCAAACCATGCTGTTTTCTTTATAATTTTAGGGTGTTTTTTTTTTTTGTTGTTGTTGTTTGTTTTGGTCATGGAGGCTTGAACTCAGGGCCAGGGTATTGTCCCTGAGCCATTTTTGCTCAAGGCTAGTGCTCTACCACTTGGAGACACAGATCCACTTCTGGTTTTTGAGTTTTGAGTTTTTGGATTTGGAGATTAGAGTCTCACGGGACTCTTCTGCCTGGGCTGGTTTCGAACTGCAATCCTCAGATCTCAGCCTCCTGAATAGTGAGGATTAGGTGTGAGTCACCAACACCTGGCGCCAATTTTAATTTTTGATCTCTAGGTTTTTACCCCCAATTGCAATCCTGAGGCCCCCTTTCTTCCTTTCTATTTCCTAAGCTAGGGAAACATGGAAACAGGAGGCAAAATATCTTTCCTTCTTCCATCCTCGGGAAGCCTGCCAAACAGTCTGTCCAGAGGCTGTTGGCTAGAGGCCCGTCCCCATCCTCGGAAGCCACGTGGGCAGTAAGCATCACAGAGTAGGAGCCAGCGCATGGCCCTGGGGGCCTCC